GTCGACGACTGGCTTGACGACTGCAACCGTTGCGGCAGCGTCAACGAGTGGAACGAGCAGCGAAAGCTTCAGTATGTCTACTTTTATCTCGAGGACACTGCGCGCACTTGGTTCGAAAACCATGAAGCCACTATGACAACCTGGCCAGAGTTTTGCAACCAGTTGCGAAATACCTTCCGAAGCTCTGACCGAAAGGAGCAAGCGGAACGGCTCCTCAATTCCCGAAACCAGCGTCCGAACGAGAGTGTTGCCTTGTTCGTTGAGGACATGTCGCGGCTGTTCAGGCGAGCCGACTCCTCAATGACGTAAGAGAATAAGGTGCGCCTCCTAATGCGGGGAGTGAAAGAGCAGCTGTTCGCGGGACTAGTGCGGAACCCTCCCAGCACTGTAGAAGATTTCCTCCGCGAAGCCACGACAATGGAGAGAATGCTAAGGCAGCGTTCGTACCAGTATGAGCGTCCTGGCAGTCTTTCGTCAGTGTCGTCGGCCCTGCCAACACCTGACGTCACGACTGTAAAAGACTTGATGGAGCTCGTGCGCAGTATTGTGCGCGAGGAGCTGCAAAAGCTGCACGTGGTGTCTTCTCCGCCCCATGTTGCTGCTCTAACGGATGTCGTTCGCGAAGAGGTCCGGCAGCTGGTGCACCGCATGACGACTCTGCGTGCAGCCGAAGTCCAACCCATGATGACCCCGCGTCCAGCCGAAGCTCCGCTATTAACGTACGCGGAAGCACTACGTACTCCTGCACCGGCTGTTGGCTATCCGTCCCGTCCGTCCACCCTGCAGACGGCACCGTAGTTCTACTCGGGACCACCGCAGTACGGCAACCCACCCCTTACACGGAAATCCAGTGTATGGCGTGCTCCCGAAAACCGGCCTCTGTGTTATCACTGTGGTGAACCAGGTCACATCTACCGTGAGTTTGCCTACAGGCACATGGGTCTTCCTGGCTTTCGTCCGGATGCTCGTCGACCCAGAGATGGTGAGCGGCCCCGTGCTATCGCCGAATACTTGGCAAGCCAACCATCCTCAATCCTTCCGCGTCGCCAATCCCGCTCACCATCTCCACGGCGTTCCATGTCACCTGGCCAACAATCGACCTTTGCGGACGTCCTTGCAGGAAGATCGCCTAGATCCACAAGCCCGCGCCGGGGAAACTAAGAACAGCGACCTCTGGGGGTGAGGCCGCTGTTGATCGACCGTTACAAAACCCTCCCCCGATTAGCCTGCCGACATCCGACGACATTCTTTCACCGACGTGTGCCATCGACGACAAACGGGTCTCTGCTCGTATCTCTGTCCTTGTCGACAACCACCCGCTGACCGCTCTGGTAGATACGGGTGCCGATTATTCTGTTATAAGCGCTGACCTTGCTGCACAGCTAAGAAAGGTAACAACACCTTGGGGACATGGAACCAACCTCCGGACTGCGGGAGGTCACCTATTGACACCGCTAGGAATGTGCACTGCCCGTCTGCGAATTCGTGAGTCGACGTACATTGTTTCCTTCGTTGTACTGCGCGAATGCTCCCAAAACCTGATTCTCGGAATGCATTTTCTCCGCGAGCATGGAGCCATTATTAACCTTCGCGACCTGCTCTTAATGTTATCTAACGACCATACAGCCCTACGAAAGGATGCAGTTGCGCCGACCACAACACTTCGAATTGCTGACGACACCATCGCACTGCCGCCGCGAGCCAGTACGTTGGTAACTGTGGAGAGCGACTGTGACAACAAGAGTAGTGGCATCGCGGAAACTAACCTCTCGGTGCTCTTGGCTCGGCAGATTTGTGTCGCGCGTGCTATCGTCAAACTAAAACATCGGAGGACTCAGCTTCTGATCACGAATTTCGGCGGCCAGTACCAACACTTGGCAAAGCGAACAGCGATCGCGAACTTTGAAGCCATTGATGACGAAGAATGTTCCACTATCGCTGCGATTGCCACTGCTGCCGAAGGTAGCACTGCATTAGCCAGTACAGTTGACGTGAATTGCCAGCTATCCTGTGCGCAGCAACAGCAGATACGCATGATTTTACGTACGTATAGTGATTGCTTTGCGTCCACCTCCAAAATCAAGCAGACCCCAACCGTGAAGCACCGCATTATAACGGACCCTACCGAACGGCCTGTACGACAGCACACCTACTGCGTGTCGCAAAAAGAACAAGAGGCAATACGTTTTCAAGTGAAACAGATGCTCGATGACGACGTCATCCAACCCTCGAACAGTCCATGGGCGTCACCCGTCGTACTTGTTAAAAAGAAAGACGGCACTCTTCGATTTTGCGTCGATTACCGGAAGCTCAACAATGTGACGAAGAGAGACGTCTACCCTCTCCCACACATAGATGATTCACTGGATCGACTTCGACATGCCCGATATTTTTCCTCAATGGATTTACGCAGCGGCTACTGGCAGATCGAGGTCGATGAACGTGACAGGGAAAAAACAGCATTCATAACTCCCGATGGCCTTTACGAATTCAAAGTGTTACCATTTGAATTGTGCTCGGCACCGGCAACGTTCCAAAAGATGATGGACACCGTCCTGTCCGGTCTGAAGTGGGAATCCTGCCTCGTGTATTTAGATGACGTCGTTGTTTTTTCCAAAACATTTGAGCAACATTTAAAACGACTTCAGTCCGTCTTTGTCGCTATTCGATCCGCAGGCCTATCGCTAAAACCAGAGAAGTGTCATTTCGGCTACGAAGAACTAAAGTTCCTAGGCCACTTTATCAGTCACGATGGCATTAGAGCAGACCCAAAAAAGACCATGGCTGTTGCTGCATTTCCTCCACCTTCGAAAAAACGGGATTTGCGCCGGTTTTTGGGTCTCTGCGCCTACTACAGGCGCTTTGTCCAGAGCTTTGCCAACATCGCTGAACCCCTTACCCGTTTAACGAAGGAGGATACTCCTTTTGTGTGGGGTCCAGAGCAGAGAGCCGCTTTTTCCCAGCTTGAGCAGTGCCTTCAGAGTGAACCCTTACTAGGGCATTTTGATGAAGATGCCGCCACCGAACTTCACACTGACGCAAGCAACATCGGTCTTGGTGCAGTGCTCGTCCAGTGGCAAGACGGCGCTGAACGTCCCATCGCTTATGCTAGCCGCATTTTGTCATCTGCGGAAACTAACTACTCGGCCACGGAGAAGTAATGTCTTGCTGTTATTTGGGCGATAACAAAGTTCCGACCGTATCTGTATAGCCGTCCATTCAGGGTAGTTACGGACCATCATGCCCTCTGTTGGCTGGCCAATCTCAAGAACCCTTCAGGGCGCCTCGCGAGGTGTAGCTTACGCCTTCAAGAATTTGAGGTTACAGTCGTCTACAAGTCGGGCCGCAGGCACACTGATGCCGACTGGCTTTCGCGCGCAACCCTCGCGACGACATCGAGGGACGATGATACCGATGGCCATTTTCTTTGTGCAGTCAGCGAATCTGACTTGGCCCAGCAACAGTGGAATGATTCAGAGATCCAACAACTTATCAAATACCTTCAAGGTGGCAGCTCGAGTCCACCACCGGCATTTGCACGTTCAGGGTCATTTTGTCTCCGCAACGACATCGTCTACAAAAAGAACTTCGAACCTTATGCGACTGAGTACCTCCTCGTCGTTACACCAGTGCTACGTGTTGACATTTTATCTGCCTGCCACGACGAGCCTTCCTCCGGCCACCTAGGATTCGCACGTACCCTTGCCCGGATTCGGACTCGCTACTACTGGCCAAAGCTCACCCAGGATGTCAAGCATTACGTTAAAACGTGCAAACATTGCCAGCGCCGTAAAGCCCACCTGTGCGCCCTGCTGGTTTATTGCAGCCTGTTGCACCCCCGTTACAACCGTTTGAACGAATCAGCATGGACTTGCTTGGGCCCTTCTCGAAGTCACATGATGGCAACCGCTGGATCGTAGTCGCTACTGACTATTTAACGAGGTACTGCGAAACGAAAGCCCTACAACGAGGCACCGCCAATGAGGTTGCGTATTTTTTCATTAACAACATCGTCCTCCGCCATGGAGCGCCATTAGTTCTTATCACTGACCGTGGAACAGCCTTTACAGCCCAATTGACGCAAGACGTCACGAGACTTAGTGGAACAGCTCATCGCAAAACAACCGCATACTATCCACAAACCAACGGTCTGACGGAGAGATTAAACAAGATGCTCGCTGGCATGCTATCTATGTACGTCGACCGTGATTACAAAAACTGGGATGCAATTTTGCCATACGTAACGTTCGCTTACAACACTGCGGTTCAAGAGACTACGGGTTTCACTCCCTTCCGGTTGCTTCACGGCCGAGAAGTAATTACGATGCTTGATGCCATGCTGTTGCCTGACACGACCGATATTACTACTGATGCGAGCGACTTTATCCGGCTCGCCGACGCGGCCCGCCAGCTTGCACTCGAGCGGATTCGAAAACAACAACGAATCGACTCGCAGAGGTACAACTACCGTCATCGCCATGTCATTTACCAACCCGGTGATCTGGTCTGGCTGTGGATCCCCGTTTGCAAAAGGGGCCACTCGGAAAAGATACTTCACCGCTACTTCGGTCCCTATAGAGTACTACGGCGCCTCACAGATGTCAACTACGAAATTCTGCTTGAAGACACAGCTCAGCGATCTCGACGTTCCCAGCAGGCCGACATTGTTCATGTGTCACGGATGAAGCCACACTACCCCCGAGCCACTTGACACTGCTTGATCCTGCGTCTTTGTGCGTGTACGCGATTACTTTAACTTTTAATCGGCATTGGTCATCGGGGTGGTACTTTTGTTTTCGAAGGGGGGGGGGGCTAATGCCACAGGCATAGAACGAGGTTTAGCCATGCCAATGCGAGTATGTGCCTTGGTGTGAAAGAAGAAGAGGACGGTTGTTGTGCTCGTGCTCTAACGTTCGGTTCGGCTCGACGTCCAGTGCTGCTCCTGTGAACAGACGCTGTGGTCGTTCTGTAATCACGTGACAATATATATATATCCATACCTTGAAGGTGTCTGGTGCATCATAGGGCAGCTTTTGTGGTCCTCCTGGAGCTCCTAACTTTCCGAAAACATTGGTGGTAGTCAGAAGAGTGCCCAGAGTCAGCGCCACAGAAATATGTGCACTGCACCTGATAACATGAAAATCACATCACATAATACACTCCAATGTATGTCATGATTCAAATTTTTGAAGAATAGTTACTCTATTGTAAATGGTTGAACCTATATTCAAATTGCTGATTCATTGCTCAGTATTTACACGGCTTCTGCTCAGTAATTGCTTTCTAATAAAAGTGTGCCATTTTAGAATGTGCGAGTATGGCCAAAATTTTGCCCGTGCTTCGTAAAATAATTCTACCCACTTTGTGTGCGCTTACATGTTCGGTGATGAAGCCCCACTCTGTTTAGTCGACTATCGTCTGCCTCTCTTTTATGCACCGTTCTCTCCGGTACCTCTCATGCATCAGCTTGAAAGATTTAAAGAACTGTTGCATCATTGTGTATTTTTGACTCGTTACAACTTTTACACAGCACAGCTGTGAATGTTAGTAAAAAGACAGGGTAGTTTAAAACACTTACTTCATTATTTCATGGAAAAAACTACTGCGCGAACATTTTGACAAACCACGCGTAGCATGTGTCCCAAGAGCGAAGTGGAGCTGATTAAAGTGTCACAAAAGAATGCTCGACAGGTGCTTAGATACCAAACAACCTGCAATAAGCCCATCTGTACGACTACAGCTACTACACGCGGGTGAAATAACTTTGTTATTTCACTCGAATTAGTAAGCGCTAAATGTTTTTGAATCGCCTGGCTCAGCAGAGAGTGCTATTAAATAAATGCCACACTTGAGAGAGTCATTGTTCTTCTCGCCGATATTATCTGTGACCAGTGTAAAATTGTGTGCTCGTTGCCCATGCTTAGGCTGCAACTTCACCAGTTGAATCACTGGTCTTGCAAAGTTAGGTTTAAAATGATTCGCGATCATACCACGAAGCAGCTCTCACAGAGAAGGTTGCATATCCTCATAACTGCCTTCATTAACCTAGGCCTGTGTTCCTTTCCGTCGCGGTGTGGACAATTGTACACGCCAACTTCTATGACACGTCACGCAGCGCATGTTTCTTCGTATGACCTGAAACTTCGTGTGTACATTTATGCAGGCTTCCTTAGTAGACAACTAGCGATCATTTACCTTCAATATTCTGCGTGTTGCTGCAGAAGATCACTTTTCTGGATACACTGCCACGGTCAGCAATTGTTCGACGTGCCGCGTTTCAGAATCAATGTCAAAATTTTTTTCCGCGATGGAAACGAATGTACCGAAAATACTGTGCATGAATTTCGAGCCTCACAGTTTATTTTTTATGGAAATATAGAAGCTGACTGATCTCAGAAGAAATACATGTTTAGCTAAATGCTAATTGCCTTTATTACTGAAGCTCACTCAAAACAACGCGTTTCATCGCTTTCTTTCCCGGAAGGTAACACTGAGTGCTTCGTAATCACGTCACGTGAACAATGCATCATAATTTGTATCTGAAAAGAGTATTACCAAGAACTTCTCCGGAACTTTCTGCAAACTCTTCCTCAAGACGTGGTACTGAGCACATAATAGCGTCCACAGATGGCCGAAGAAAAAAAGTGCATATGAAGCAAGGCACTACAGAATTCGGCAAAGTCTTCCCGAAATGTGCGTCAATAAAATAAGAATAATAATAATAATAATAATAATAATAAAACTTTAGCCAGCGTTCAAAATACAAAGCTTTAAAATTAAGCGTTTTCCAGCCCTGCATGCGCAAGATCTTCAACCGAGGAGCCAGCGCGCTTGATGGACAACTACCATTTGTTGCAAGTACGAATATAACTGATGAGTGAACATACGTAGAAATGGGACTCAACCAATTACTTTCTTTATCTCGCTGCCGGGTTTTGAGAAAGCAACAGCCAGAGCTGTTCGCGCCGCCGCTCGGTTTTGCGCATGCGCTCGCGCCACCGTTATGCTTTGATTTGACCGCCAACGGCAAATATAGACTTAAAATACGTATCTTAACCAGGGAAGCGCTCCTGGGTGGGTCCATATTATGGATTTTTCATTTCAGCCACGTTCATTGGTTGGAGTTAAGGCAACAGCGCGCTTCCTTTTTCCGGTTCCTCATCTTCGTAGGCATTTTTCACAACTCTCGAATAAAATTAAACAAACGCAATGCGCTCCACAGAGAAAACTCTCAAAGAAAAAATTGGAGAGGAGGCCTGGCATCTATAAGACCTTTCAAGTGACTACCTTGTCAGATTCCTGTAAAAATTACCATCACACCTTTGTTTCTTTCCTCTGTCTTGGTGAGGCTCTGCCGCGGTGGTCTAGTAGCTAAGGTACTCGGTTGCTGACCCGCAGGTCGCGGGATCAATTCCCGGCTGCGGCGGCTGCATTTCCGATGGAGGCGCAAATGTTGTAGTCTCGTGTACTCAGATTTGGGTGCACGTTCAAGAACCCGAGGAGGTCAAAATTTCCGGAGCCCTCCACTACGGCATCTCTCATAATCATACCGTGGTTTTCTGAAGTTCAACCACACAAATCATCATCATCTTTCTTGGTGCGCTCATGGCAACGAAGTGGCTGCATACCCATGGAGTGAATGATAATGGGTGAGAGAAGCGGTGGGATTCTTTTGTGTTACTCTGTGTTATCGTAAATAACCCGCGCAATCGACCACTCACGCACGTAAATGAGTGCCCAGCGGTGTACGGTTATATATAGTGTTTATTGGTCATGACTCGTATGTTGCTTTTCTTGTGAATTTCGTTGTGCCTTCAATATTATTGTTTTGCGGTATAGGAAGTCATTAGATAAGGTCTGGATACGTTCGCCTAGTGGTTGTTGGTTGTATCCAGTCATGCAAATTGCGTAGCTAAGCATCTCGAGACTTCATATACTGCATAAGCCAGTATTTATCCTTGATCACCATCGTCGCCATCTTCATAGTCATCAGCGTCAACATAATCATCATAGCGTAAAGTGGGCACCTTGCATGTGCTGTGCCGCGGTGACTGAGAAAGTCTGGTCGCCATCAACATCGCCATCGCGTTTAGATACGGGAGCCGCTAATGTGACCGACGCACAAGCCTGTACCATAAAGGAGCCCAGAAACACTTTTTGAGCATGGTTAAAAAACACTGTTGATCAGTAGTGGAGGTTTCCAAGAACAGTCGAGCCAAATAATAAAGCGCTAAAGGGGACCTGGAATTCACAAATTGTCAAAGCCAGCTAAACATTACTTTCTCTTCTCTCGACGAATGACGGAAGACGCTCAAAAACTGCGCGTAGAAGGCCATCTGTCAGTCGTTGGCTTGTTTGAACATGGCGCACTCGGTCGTTACAGGGATCACCATAGGATAGGCCACAACTTGTGCACGCGTGCGCGTGCGATCACGCTGGAAAAGCGGCGTATTTGAAAAAAAAAAAAAGAAGAAATAGCAGATCCCACATACAGCGGGAATCGATGATATGCAAAGCACGATTGAGAATTGTAGATATGTCGCGTTAAAATCAGCCCAACGTTACGGAGTGGAGGTAAATGAAGCCGTACATGACTGCCGTGCCATGATTTTCATGTTCGGATGTGTCGTTTACCTTGGTCATCTATTCATTTCACGTCATACCAAATTTAGTATACGTGGATCTAGCGGAACGGCCACGAGCACGCTATGAGCGTGTTATGTTGTCATGTTTTTACATGACCACGTGACAGGATTATCATGTTTGCACAAGTCATATGTTTCATCAATCCTCGATGTCACATAACACCGAATTTGGTATATGAGGAACCAGCAAAACAGCCGCGAGCACAGCACGAAGGGCCCAATATACTCCAATGTAGCGTTGACGCGCGCACACGCTGGGCACAGCGACGCTATACGTAAGCAAAGCGCGATAATTATATAATCTCACGCCAGGGTCGACCACCGTCCGTCGGCGTGGCCCGATGGCAACCGGCACGAAATGCGACATACTGCATTTCGCGCCGATGCGTTATCCAGACAACACTGCGTCTCCCTCTTTTCGTGATGGATGGACGCCGGACGCGCTGAAACCCGCATGCATCGAAACAACGCAGCGCGGCGCGCATCTGCGAGTACATGGCACACTCTAAACAGAAAAACCATCAGATGGGAGCTTTTGGCTTGTCCTCATGATCACTCCCATCAGTGCATATTTTTACGCCCTCGAAGTGGGAGTAAAGAAAATTGGCAGATCCCACGTGCAGTGGGAATCTATGGTATGTGAAGCACGAATGAGAAATGTTGATATGTACTTTAGAATCAGCACAACGTTACGAGGTGGAGGTAAATGATGCCATACATGAATTCCATGTCACGATTATTATGTTTGGATGTGTCGTTTACCTTCGTTATCTATTCACGTCACGTGATACCAAATTTAGTATAGGTGAAGCTAGCAAAACGGCGGCGAGCACGCTATGAGCGTGGTATGTTGTCATGTTCTTACATGACATGCGTGTCAGGGTTATCATGCTTGCACCAGTCATATATTTCGTCATTGACGTCACGTAACAGCTGTTGTAGGCCCGTGTGCTTAGATTCGGGTGCACGTTAAAGAACCCCAGGTGGTCGAAATTTCCGGAGTCCTTCACTACGGCGTCCCTCATAATCATATGGTGGTATTGGGACGTTGAACCCCACATATCAGTCAATCACGTAACACCAAGTTTGGTATATGTGGAGCTAGCGAAATGGCTGCGAGCTCATCATGAAGGGTCTAGTATACTCCTATGTAGCGTTTGAGCGCCCGCACGCAGGGTACAGCGATGCTACGTTAGCAAAAAGTGAGCACTCTTAAGTCTGACGCCAGGCGCTACCGGCGCGACCAGCGTTTGTCGGCACGGCCCGACGGCAACCACCGCAAAATGCGACGTGCTGAATTTCGCGCCGATGCGTTACCTAGATAGCACTGCGTCTCCCTATTTTCGTGACGGAGGGATGCCAGGCGCGCTCAAATGCGCATGCATCAAAGCAACGCAGCGCAGCGCGCTCCTGCGAGTATACGGCAGGACCGGCACCTGGCGTGACAACACCAGGCGTGACGCAAAGAAATGAACGCCGGCGAGCACGTGCACCACGTCACGTTGAAATGTATTGGCACCTTCACTGTCTAGCCCAGCCCTGGTGGATCAGCTGCGACTGATCCACAGAGCTGAACGGATGGCTCGCGCCAGTAGGGCCCTGTAATAGGCGCACCACACTGCCAGATAGACTTCGCTCTTCACCCTGTATATTCTGTATATTCCTCGAGGCACTGGAGTTCTAGCCTGTCTGGATTATGTACATCAGAAAGTTTTCTATTACTACTTGACTGTGGCATGTAAACATGTTCGCACCATTCAGCTACTTTCGTCATCTATCGGCATCACGTAATACCATTTTTGGCA